ATTACATATAAAGTAGATAAGCAATAAGAATACACTGTGCAGCACTGAGAATTAACTTGTAATAAACTATAACATAGTATAATCTTCAAAGTTACTGAATCACTACACTGTATACCTGATACTAACACAATATTAAAAATAAATTTTACTCGAATAAAAAATAACTTAAATTTTAGAGTCTGCTTGACTCTGAACATGGTGATATAAATAAAACCCATACGTGTAAGATAAGCAAAAAATCTCCTCAATCAAACAAACAAAACAACTACACTTTTTTGACCACATGTTTGGTGATGGAAAGGTCAAGTGTTTGTTCAGAGGGAGAAGACAGGTTATGTTTGGATTTAGACATCTATTGATTGAGAAGCTTATTGATAGATTTCTATTTTCAGCACTATTGGCATTTTGAACTAGATAATTTTTCCTTGTTGGGGGCTGTTTTGTGCTTTGTAGAATAAGCAGCATCGTTAGTTTGCACACAAGATGCCAATAGGTATCTGGCATAGTGGGCATCTGGGTGGGAGAAGCCTGGCAAGAAGTTGAAATGATTTAAGAAAGGAGAAAGGAAAATTTCTTTTCTTATGGACAGAGACAGATGACTTAGGAAATACAAAAGAGAAAAGGGGGCAAATTTTTTCCACATCCCCCCCAAATCTTTTAATATAAGACATATATTATTATAAGACATATATAAGACATATATTAAAAGATAGGAGGTTTTGAAAAATGGATATCGGTTTTGGGGCAAATGATTCTACTGAGGCAATTCTTCGGCAGAACCAATTAAAATGGTGCTCTTTAAATAAATCTGGAGTCTCCAAAATAATGAGCTATTTAAACAAGGCATTATTGATTGTCAACTGTGACTGGCACATGATGGTTGCTTACATATTTGTTGGTTACGTCAGGGAATGAATAGTATGCTCTGTTAATTACTGACAGTATATAAAGGTCCCAGGGAAATAGAAGACACACACCCATTTGAGAAACCTCCTCTTTCAACCCACCTTAATTCACATCCTTTGACAACATGTGTTGCAACTACTATGGCAACTCCTGTGGCTACGGCTGTGGAAACAGCTATGGCCGTGGATTTAGCCCCTATTATGGCTGTGGTTATGGAACCGGATATGGCTGTGGATACGGCTGTGGATATGGCTCCCGCTATGGCTGTGGTTATGGAACCGGATATGGCTGTGGATACAGCTGTGGATATGGCTCCCGCTATGGCTGTGGTTATGGTACCGGATATGGCTGTGGATATGGCTCTGGCTTTGGCTACTGCAGCTACAGACCAGTTTGCTATTCTTCTTGCTGCTAGAACATCACTATCCAAGCCCCATTTGCTCTAAAGTGGCACGTTTATAGATAATGCTGATTCAAGAATCTATAACCCATGATTGCTACATCCAAGAAATTACATGCCTGAAAGAAGGTTTGACCTCCAATTACCCGGTTTTAGATTGGCATCTTTGTAGCCTGAGGCTCCATGGTATCATCTGACTAATTTCCAAATGTTATCTTAATCTCTCATTGTCTATTATATATTGATGATTCTCTATCTGTACTGATGATCCTAACATCTTAAAGTT